TTTTAACATATTTTACATATTTAATAATATGTTAAAGAATATAATATATTTAAAGTATTATTTTTTTATTCAGTCTTTTTTTTATGATTTATATTACTTAATCATTTATCTTTTTACCTATGACATAGCCACCAAGGTGTGGAATATGTGCAATTGATGATAGGTATAAGCACTACACATCATAATCAACCCATGTTCATTTCTAAAAAAATTCCATGTTTCATTCTAATAACAAAGGGAACAATCTAGGACAAGGATTATGGATTTTTGTCATATGGAACATTTGGAGTCACAGGAATAAAGTTGTTTTTAGGCAAGGAAAAGTTAATACAGAGAATATTTTCTTTATGAGACAATTGAGAACGTGGACATGGATGAAGCACAAAATATCTATGGTGAAGTTTTCATACATAAAATGGTTTCAATGCCCAATTGAGTGCATTAGATCTGTCTCATAGGTAGTATTGAGAGGTATAACATAAACATAGGGATATATAAGAAAGGGAGATATAGAGTAATTTATAACCGAGAAAGAGAGGGAATGGTATATAATATACTAGAAATACATGTGTGTTTGTATCCAATTTTGTGTAGGTGTCTTGAAGCTACCACTAAGGAAAACAAAGTTTTATACCCACTATGAAGGCGTCCAAAATAATTTTGAAACCTAATTATGAAAAGAGAGTTGAAGTGTTGTGAAAAACCTTATGAAGAATGAAGCAATATTATAATAAGTATTGGATAAATGTTGCCTCATGTGTTTGATGAGGTATATGCCTAAGTTGATGTGCAGGTTAAGAAAATGTAATTAAGAGATATATTATCACAATCCATGTTATAAATATCATGTAAAGGTAAGTGTACCCAAGTACTCCATTTATAAATATATGAATTTCTTTGCTAATAAAAAAAAAGAAAAAGAAGGTTTAATTATGTTTTTAGTCAGTATTTTTGTATGAAAATCTCAAATTAGTTTAACAATGTTTTTTGTTTCAATTAAGTCTCTATCTTTAAAAGGGTGTAATTTGATCATTTTAAAGATGCTTCACGTGTCACTTCGTAATTTTTTTTTATTTTTTTTTAATTTAAAAATATTGTCACGTATTAAGTTAGTCTCGTGACACATGGTAACAGTGATGTGATGTGACAATAACAATGTCGCGTTCAGTGTCAAGTGTCATTGTCTTAATTTAAATTTATTTTTTGTATTTGTTATTTTGATTTAGTTCAATCTATATATTCTTTAAAATAGATTAATTTCATCCCTTCCCGAGTTTAAACCAAATTTAAGTTTTATATAAACGTTATACTGATTTTTTATTAAAATATTTTAAAAAAATTAAGTTTATTTTTTTAACAAAATTAGATTTATAAAATTAAACTTTATTTAAATTTTGTTTTACAAAAATTAATTTATTTGTATTTTTATTTTATTTCATCGTACTTTAATATTGTTTTTTCATTTAAATTCATATTTAAGATAATTTTATATAAATTTATAAAAGAATTACCAATATAGAATTTAAGAATTTCAATACAAATGTTAAGAGTTAGTTTAAAAATAATTATAACAATATTTAATAAAAATATTAGTATAACATTTATATAAAAATTAAATTTGATTTTAATTNATCCTCGTTTATAATGTTTCCATTTTATGCACTGGTTTGTAATGTGAAGATATTTATATTTTTGTTTATAAGACTGCTGTACGTGTGTCCTCTGTGTGCTTGTACATCTTGTGGGTAGGGTGAAAGTTCATAAGATGATGAAGCATTGTTTGTCAGATATTATATCCTTATGGACTTCTCTCTTATTGTCAGTTGTCAAAACTGTGGATGAAATCCCACGACATTTTCAAAACACCCAACATGTTTCAACAACGTTTTGATTATCCTTATTCCCCTATTTTTTGTTTACTCTTAGTGTTCCTTAATTGTTGTACTCTTATTTTATGTATAATAAATTTAGGTGGAAATAAGGATAGTATTCGATTGTTATGCCGTGGTTTTAAAACTAGTTGGATGTTTTATTGCAGGAACCAAAGCAAAAGAGTAAGGAGTTTAGAGGCAGTGCCAAGAGGAAGGGATTTGAATCAGATGAAGAGTCTCCTCCAAAGAAAACAACCACCCATCGACGGATGGCAGTTGTGTATGATAGTGATGAGGAATAATGAACTTCCTTATGCCAGATTTTCACGGTTAGTATTCTTAGTCTCTAGAATTTTATTACAATACTACGGATCATCTATGTAGGATTGTTGAATTTGTAATAATTATTTTAATTTCACAAATGAATCTTGCAGTGCCCTTCCAGCGAAGGGTGTGCGTAAGACTGCAGCTTAGAGAGGCTGAGATGACTCAATATTTTTCCTTAAATAGCTGTAAATTTAATATTTCATCCTTGTATACATAAAGCAGAGCCTGATATATTGATATAGTAATTGAATCTCTTGATAATGGTTTTAAAAAAGATCAGTGTAAATAAGTTTGTTCTCTGTATTTTCCGATAGCAAACCTTTCGCCCTAGGGGCAGGTAAGGGGTGGACAAATAGAACTGAACTGCACTGTACTACTAAAATCTTACTGAACTGCACTGTACTACTAAAGTCTTACTACTAAAGTCTTACTGAACTAAAAACTAATTTGTATAAACTGAACTGAGCTGTAAAATAGTTCAGATAAACTGAACTGTTTTTTGTTTTATCAAACTGGACTGAACTGAACTATACTAAATTGTACTAAACTACAATATAAATTAAACTGAACTACTAACTATACTAATTTTAAACTGAATTACAATAATTTTAAACTGAATTTTACTAGTTTTTAAACTGAATTNCTGATTTAGTTTTGATGTGCATGAATGGACATGATTCTTTTGAACTTAGTAGATTGGTAATCTGTTAAGGAAGTTTATAATATTTTAAGGATATGTGAGGGCGAGGAAGTACTTCAATAAATTCATTAGTACTAAATAGGAATAAAATGCTCCATGTTCTATTATGTTTACCCTTTAACTTTGTAGAAAACCAGGTGGGTTAGTGTTATGATGATTTGTCATTCATGATCAGGTTGCAGAATGTAATTGTTTACAAAAAATGTATCATGGATTTTCTATTACTGTAGTATGAAAGCAATGCCCGCTTTGTGAGATGGTCTGATGGCAGCCTACAGCTTTTAATTGGGAATGAAGTTCTTGACATATCAGTGCAAGATGCACAGCATGATCAAGCACATCTTTTCCTTAGACACGGAAAGGTGAATTTCGTTATTCCTTTGAATGTCTTGATGAGTTACCATTTTCCCCTAATTGTCTGTGTTTACATGCTTCAGGGAATCCTTCAATCACAAGGAAGGTTATTGAGGAAAATGAGGTTTATGCCATCTTCCTTGTCTTCAAATTCTCATCGGCTGTTGACTGCCCTTGTTGACTCAAGGCATAAGAAGGTTTACAAGGTTAAAAACTGCATTACTGACATTGATCCTGAGAGGGAAAAAGAGGAAAAAGAGAAGGTATAATTAATAATTCAATAATGACGTGCTAAATGTCTCTTGGGTACCATCATCTAATTTCTCTATATCTTTTGTAGGCTGAAAGTCAAAATATTAGGGCTAATGTGCTTCTTAACCGAAAGCGTGAGAAGGTGAGCCGGAAGTATACTCCAGCTGTGGATAGGAGGCGGCAACTTTCTCCTGGGTTTTTAGAGGATGCATTGGATGAGGTATAAAAGTCTGTTTTTCTTTTGGTCACGTATCTCCTGTAATTTTCTGTAAGCATATCTGGGTACATAAAACTATGACAGTTTCATTATTTACTCATTGTTCTTTCCTTCAGGAGGACGAAGCAGAGTACTATGATTCAAGTCGCTCTCAGCGCCGCTTTGAGGATGATTTGGAAGTGGAAGCCCGAGCAGAGAAACGAATTATGAATGCTAAAAAGGTATCGTTTCTCAGTCTGCGGAAATTTGTTTTTATATTGATTGTTTTGGCATTTGTCATTGATGAGGGTTTTTTTTTTTATTTTTTTGGAATTTAGTCACAGGGACCTAGAGACATCCCTCGCAAGTCTTTTTTCCCACCTGCTAAGTCCTCTCGAAATCCAGTCGGTTACCAGGATGATGAGAGAGAGGAGTCTGAGTATGAAACCGAGGAAGAGGAAAATGAGAGGCCACCTCCACGCAAGAGGGATGAGGATACTGAACCAGAGTATGAGGACGATGAAGAAGAGGAAGATCACTATGAAGAGGCAGAACAAGTTAATGATGCGTCAGATGAGGAGGTACTGCATATTTTATTAAAAATAATACATATTTAAAGTTTTGGCTGTAGGTCCGTAGATATTTAGTTTTAGATTGGTTCTTATCAGCCCTCCTTAACTGTTGATAAGAAGGTATATTACATGTGATTAGTTCATGCAGTTTCGTTGTTTTTAAATCATCCTCGTTTATAATGTTTCCATTTTATGCACTGGTTTGTAATGTGAAGATATTTATATTTTTGTTTATAAGACTGCTGTACGTGTGTCCTCTGTGTGCTTGTACATCTTGTGGGTAGGGTGAAAGTTCATAAGATGATGAAGCATTGTTTGTCAGATATTATATCCTTATGGACTTCTCTCTTATTGTCAGTTGTCATAACTGTGGATGAAATCCCACGACATTTTCAAAACACCCAACATGTTTCAACAACGTTTTGATTATCCTTATTCCCCTATTTTTTGTTTTCTCTTAGTGTTCCTTAATTGTTGTACTCTTATTTTATGTCTCATAAATTTAGGTGGAAATAAGGATAGTATTCGATTGTTATGCCGTGGTTTTAAAACTAGTTGGATGTTTTGTTGCAGGAACCAAAGCAAAAGAGTAAGGAGTTTAGAGGCAGTGCCAAGAGGAAGGGATTTGAATCAGATGAAGAGTCTCCTCCAAAGAAAACAACCACCCATCGACGGATGGCAGTTGTGTATGATAGTGATGAGGAATAATGAACTTCCTTATGCCAGATTTTCACGGTTAGTATTCTTAGTCTCTAGAATTTTATTACAATACTACGGATCATCTATGTAGGATTGTTGAATTTGTAATAATTATTTTAATTTCACAAATGAATCTTGCAGTGCCCTTCCAGCGAAGGGTGTGCGTAAGACTGCAGCTTAGAGAGGCTGAGATGACTCAATATTTTTCCTTAAATAGCTGTAAATTTAATATTTCATCCTTGTATACATAAACAGAGCCTGATATATTGATATAGTAATTGAATCTCTTGATAATGGTTTTAAAAAAGATCAGTGTAAATAAGTTTGTTCTCTGTATTTTCCGATCGCAAACCTTTCGCCCTAAGGGCAGGTAAGGGGTGGGCAAATAGAACTGAACTGCACTGTACTACTAAAATCTTACTGAACTAAAAACTAATTTGTATAAACTGAACTGAGCTGTAAAATAGTTCAGATAAACTGAACTGTTTTTTGTTTTATCAAACTGGACTGAACTATACTAAATTGTACTAAACTACAATATAAACTAAACTGAATTACTAACTATACTAATTTTAAACTGAATTACAATAATTTTAAACTGAATTTTACTAGTTTTTAAACTGAATTGTACTAGTTTTTAAACTGAATTATACTAGATTTTAAACTGAATATTATAACAATACATGTTCTTTTTAATTAAAATTTATTTTAATATTTATTTTATTTTATTCATAAGTGCCTTACAAATTAACTTTTTAATTATTTGATATTATTTTCTATTTTATTTATATTTCTTTTATTATTATATGTGTATGGAAATTATTTTATTATTTATTTATTTTATTTTATTTTTTATTTTTTTATTTATATTTATTTTGTCATGAATATTATTTTACTTTTATATTTATTTTTTTAATTTTTTATTTATATTTTTTTGTTTTATATGTATATATAATTTATTTTATTTTTTTATCTACTTATTTTATTTTAAAATAATTTTTTATTTATATTTATTTTGTTCCCTCGTAAAATTGTTTTATTAATCAATTATTTATTATTTATATTTTATTATGTAAAAATTAAACTAATATTTATTAATTATTATAATATAATAAAAGATGATACTAGAAAAATTACTCTTAATAAATGTTTGTTAATTTTTTTGTCATTTGATATTTTTATAATATTAATTATTTTTGTTGCATTACTATTTTTTTATGATATTTCATTATATATTCATTTAATAAAATTTAACGTTAAAAAGTATATTTTAGTTTTAGTATGTAAAATACTATCATTTAAAAATAATAATATTAATATTTATTTTAAAATAAGTTGATTTTTAAAGTAAATAGTTATTTTAGTGTGTGCGTTTCACACATTTTAATATCATTAGAAGTTTTTTTAACATATTTTACATATTTAATAATATGTTAAAGAATATAATATATTTAAAGTATTATTTTTTTATTCAGTCTTTTTTTTATGATTTATATTACTTAATCATTTATCTTTTTACCTATGACATAGCCACCAAGGTGTGGAATATGTGCAATTGATGATAGGTATAAGCACTACACATCATAATCAACCCATGTTCATTTCTAAAAAAATTCCATGTTTCATTCTAATAACAAAGGGAACAATCTAGGACAAGGATTATGGATTTTTGTCATATGGAACATTTGGAGTCACAGGAATAAAGTTGTTTTTAGGCAAGGAAAAGTTAATACAGAGAATATTTTCTTTATGAGACAATTGAGAACGTGGACATGGATGAAGCACAAAATATCTATGGTGAAGTTTTCATACATAAAATGGTTTCAATGCCCAATTGAGTGCATTAGATCTGTCTCATAGGTAGTATTGAGAGGTATAACATAAACATAGGGATATATAAGAAAGGGAGATATAGAGTAATTTATAACCGAGAAAGAGAGGGAATGGTATATAATATACTAGAAATACATGTGTGTTTGTATCCAATTTTGTGTAGGTGTCTTGAAGCTACCACTAAGGAAAACAAAGTTTTATACCCACTATGAAGGCGTCCAAAATAATTTTGAAACCTAATTATGAAAAGAGAGTTGAAGTGTTGTGAAAAACCTTATGAAGAATGAAGCAATATTATAATAAGTATTGGATAAATGTTGCCTCATGTGTTTGATGAGGTATATGCCTAAGTTGATGTGCAGGTTAAGAAAATGTAATTAAGAGATATATTATCACAATCCATGTTATAAATATCATGTAAAGGTAAGTGTACCCAAGTACTCCATTTATAAATATATGAATTTCTTTGCTAATAAAAAAAAAGAAAAAGAAGGTTTAATTATGTTTTTAGTCAGTATTTTTGTATGAAAATCTCAAATTAGTTTAACAATGTTTTTTGTTTCAATTAAGTCTCTATCTTTAAAAGGGTGTAATTTGATCATTTTAAAGATGCTTCACGTGTCACTTCGTAATTTTTTTTTATTTTTTTTTAATTTAAAAATATTGTCACGTATTAAGTTAGTCTCGTGACACATGGTAACAGTGATGTGATGTGACAATAACAATGTCGCGTTCAGTGTCAAGTGTCATTGTCTTAATTTAAATTTATTTTTTGTATTTGTTATTTTGATTTAGTTCAATCTATATATTCTTTAAAATAGATTAATTTCATCCCTTCCCGAGTTTAAACCAAATTTAAGTTTTATATAAACGTTATACTGATTTTTTATTAAAATATTTTAAAAAAATTAAGTTTATTTTTTTAACAAAATTAGATTTATAAAATTAAACTTTATTTAAATTTTGTTTTACAAAAATTAATTTATTTGTATTTTTATTTTATTTCATCGTACTTTAATATTGTTTTTTCATTTAAATTCATATTTAAGATAATTTTATATAAATTTATAAAAGAATTACCAATATAGAATTTAAGAATTTCAATACAAATGTTAAGAGTTAGTTTAAAAATAATTATAACAATATTTAATAAAAATATTAGTATAACATTTATATAAAAATTAAATTTGATTTTAATTTGGAGAAGGGTAAAATTGCTCCATCTTTAAAAAAATTAGGACTTAATTGAATCAAAATAACAAATACATAGACTAAATTGAGATTAAGACAATGACACTTGGCGCTAATAGTAACACGTGACATTGTTATTGTCACATCACACTGCCACGTGACACAATACTAACTTAACATGTAACATTTTTTCTAAAATAAAATAAATAAAATAAAAAAATCAAGAAAAAAAACATAAAATGATACGTGACACATATTTATTAATGTTTGTACAGTACTAGTGAAAATTACCAAATTATATCGCATTTTCAAAAAGGCTTAATACCTCTTTTGGTCCATCGAAAGAGGAGTTGTGTTCAAAGTGGTCCTACATTTTTTAAAAAGTAACAAACGATCCTAACTTCTGAAAAAACGGGTCAAGTTAATCTTTTTTGCTTACGGCGTCAAAAATGTAACGGTGCAGCTGCCTCCTTAGCCAAAACTTAATGAGTTGTCATCTTTTCCTCATACGTGGCACATTGAGGTAATATAACGTGTCAATTTTAAATTTTTAAAAAAACAAATTGCTTGCCACATAAGCTTCGTCTTCCACCTCCAGAAACGTTAAAGCCACAAACCGCCGTCGTCAACACCTCAGACCACCACTAAGGCTACTAGCTTCTTCCTAACAACCAAATCACATTTTCCTCCTCCATGTGCCACTGCAACGAAACCAAAAAACCATCATCATCTTCTCCGTCAGACTTTCGAAAAAACTCAAAAACAAAAAGGCGAGCTCCTCCACCAATCTCCTCCTTCGAAACATGCAAGAAACCGCAAAGACCTAAAGAAACCCAAATCAAGCTTCATCCATAGCCATTTGAACCTGCGAAAACCAAATTTCAGATGAACATTAATCACAGGACAAAAAACCAAATTAGGAACCCTAATCGCGAGTTCATCGCGAATAAAAAAATGTCCAACCCTCTCGCGAAAATCACCCAACCGGGGTCTTTGATTCTTAAAGCTAGGGTTAAGGAGACTCCAAAGTCAGTACGAGGAAGCTCATCATTTTCACCTTGTGAGGAATTTTGGAATGAGGCAATTTTACTTGCTGACAATTTGTGTGTCGTTTAATGAAACCAGTACGCCGGCATCCATGGTACATTCCCATTGGCCGCCTTCCCGCCGAGCTGCCACTCTCCGGTCAAACTCCCCGTTGTTCCGCAGTGAGTTCAGCGCCACCAACCCTCTGATCGGCTTCTCATTGAAGATAATCTGCAACACAGAACCAGTCCCTGTCCTCTCACTCAACTCTCTCTCCCTGTCGCTGAACACGTCATTTAACCTCACAGTGCCACGCAATGACATAAACTGGACACGTCATTATGTTTTGTCTAGGGAGGCAACTACATCATTACATTTTTAACGTCGTAAGCAAAAAGGATTAACTTGACATGTTTTTTCACAACTTGGGATCGTTTGTTACTTTTTAAAAAAAGTAAGACCATTTTGAACACAACCCCTCTTTCGAGGAATCAAAAGAGGTATTAAGCCCTTTCAAAAATAAAGATCAAAGTGAGACAAAAAAAAAAGTAAGGAACCAATTTTAGAATTTTGTATGAAAATGGAGGTCAAATGTATAATAAAAAAAATCTTTGTAAAAGATGCAAATCACAACTGTTAAAAATAGAGGTAACACCATGTTTAGGAGAAAGATTTTGTATATAGTCATTATTATTAATCTTTTTAAATTAGAGTAGCTCATCTTTATTAAGATTGAATTTTGATTGTTCCTAATATGAAAACTTTTTCTTTCGCAAATGGAACCAAACTCAATTTCCTTTCTTAAAAATCATTTTTCTTGTCTCTTCCCCTTTGAGTCATCTTAAATCCAAAAGGGTTATATAAAAGCATAATTTTCTCCTCACGCAAGTAGATCTTAAAAAAATGACAAATGATAAACTTAATGTGATTAAAATTTTAATAGGATAAATTATTATCTTCATCGTACACTCTGATATTTAAGTAGATGAAGAAATTTGTCATCTTATAGAGAATATTGAGGAAGAGAATGATATTCTCTAAAAATATAATAATTTTTATAAAATAAAATTCAATTAATAAATAATTTTTTGTTAATAATTTAAACTTCTAATAATAAAATAATTGAATGACGTTTATAAAATTTATTTATAAATTTACAATTACTATATACAGTCATGAAAAAAATAAAGAAAAGGATGAGCGAATTACAAATAAAAAT